AAGAGTGGTACTGTGCCCGATTTTACTGCTGAGTCAGGAGGCATAATAGAGGATAACAGGTTGACTTTGGGGGTCCTAAGCCTTGCTAAGCTTGGATACATAGTTGGGTGGGCTCAGTCCATTACTGTAAGATAGAAATGCATGACTAACATTAGTTCTAACATTTTACTTATTCAAAATGTATTAGGCCAGGACTATAAGTACTTCCAATATATCCAAAGAGAAGGAGGCCTAGAACTTGCCTAGCCTAGCTCTCTGTTTCCTGAAAAGAGCTACAACCCCATCGGGGATGGCTGAATAGATGGGAAGGGAGGGCTAAGGAGTGCTGGCTAGGGAAGAAGGGTTAGTATCTGCTTGAAAGCCCAACAGGGGGAAAAATTCAGTAGGAGATGAAAGCAATGAAGGCTCTGACAAGAAATGCAGATCAAAGGGTTGAAAAGATCCCTATAGCACCAATATGCCTGCCTCTGAGCCCACCAAGCTCCCTCAGGCTATTTTCTCTATTCTCCATATGTTCCCTTAATCCGAAGAGGAGCTGGGGGAGCAATGCACCCTCATTCAGTTGGCACCTGGACCTTGCAGTGGTTCTGGCTTCCCTGTCTGCCTGGCACTTACACATGCACAGGTTTGAAAAATAAGACCAAGTAAAGGTGATAAACGACAATGTGATTATTTAATTCAAACAACAGAAGTTGGTGGGTAGAGTTTAGGTTTAATGCCTGTAAAATCTCCAATAAATTGTTAAACAGAAAAGCACTGGTAGTCAGAGCTGTTCTCAGCTCTACTCCCTCAACACACACACACACACACACACACACACACACACACACACACACAGAGTTTAGCTGTAGCATGAGAGGCTCAGATTAGCTCTGAGGAAGAACTTCCTGGCAGTGATATGTGGGACCCAGGAATGATTGATAAAGGAAGGATATGAAATACTTCCTCTGGGGGCTTAGCCTTTATCAACTAGTTTATCTGTTTAAACAGGTTTGGAGGCAGGGAAATTTTTTTAATTTTACTTTTTTTTAATCTTATTAGTACATGTTTGCAGTTCATGTAGTTTACAATCATCTTGGGAAGCAATTACATGTACATACCACATCTTGTTTATTTTTTTATTTTTAATCCCCTTCCCTCCCCCTCCCTTCCTCCTCCTCCAATTCCCCTATCCAATTTTTCATTCTTGTTGATATTAGTGATCTTAGCTCATGTTATGGCATATAATAGCTATACTAATTGTTTATACTAATTGTATATACTAATTGTACATATCTATATACATGGCATATCTTTAATTCTACTTATTTGCCCTTCCTCTCCTCTTCATCCCTCCCACTTTTTTCCTTGGACCACTTTCTTATTGCAAGAGATCTATCTCCTCGTCCTATTCTATCAATCCTTCATTATTTTATTTGTAATTTGGAGGCAGGGAAATTGATGAAATAACATTAGACACCCCCCCCCTTCTAGCTTCAGTAGCCTATTTGTTAAATAATGAAGCTGGAACCCTTTCTTTTCAGTTCTACAAGCAAGCATGTGACCTGCCAGGCTTGCTGCTATTTCTCTTATTCACTTATTTCCCTAGACCAGTGAAGCAGAGCTGTTCTTTCCATATACACATTCCAAGAGTGTAAATGTAACAGTTCGTGAGGAATTTTTAACACCTCTAGTACACTAGGAGGGAATTATTAGACTGCTAACTTCTTCCAACTATATTCCCTCCTTCTGAAACTCTCAGACCCAACAGGCTGCAGACTAAGAGCAAGAGGCAAAAGAAGATACAAAAGGGGTGAGGGGATCCTCAGATGTAGCCCGAAAGTTGCCTTCACTCTTACAGAATGGGGGAAATAAGAGGAGGGAGGTGGATATTGAAATCTATATTGGGTGAAGGCCACTAGAGACAGTGAAACACAATATAAAGAGCCACTACACAGGAGGTGGTAACCACTACACTGGAAGTAGTAATCTCTTCCTAAATAGTTTTGGGACCGTAAGCAAACCTCTGTTGCTTTCAAGGGCTCAGGATTCCCATTGGTAAACACAGTGGTCTGAACTGGTACTCCCCAAAAGCCTGTCTAGCTGAGTGGAAGGGATTCAGCAGAGGCCTAGAGGACACTTCTCAACCCCTATCACATGGGTATTTAGGCTCCAGGTCCTCCCTCCTTTGCCCTCACAAGGCCAAAAGAGAGGCTGAATTGTGAAACTTCTCTCTGGAGATAGCCTGCCCCTAGGTCTATTTCCAAATCTACAGATGGCCTCTTATCTACCTGACTTGCAGCATGTTTTCAGTAACTTTCTAAGACCCCATTCTAAAACCCTTTGAAAAATTTCATTTTTATCATGGCACATTTATACACAAAAAAATTCCCTAGTTCTCTACTCTTTAATGTTCTTTCTCCCAGAAGGATTAGATTTTCATTCCACCGTCTGATGTTTAGGAACTCCCACCACTGAGGCCCAACATCTTCTCTACCTCTAAGCCATATCATCTCAGCCAGAAGAGACTCAATAACCTCACACACCCTGCCTGCCAGCCACCACTTCCCATTCCTAATGTTGCTTATACTTTGTCTACTAAACCCCTCTAATTTCTGGCAGCTTCCCAAGATGATTCTGCCAGCATATACAGATCTCTCATTTCTCTTCATGGCAATTTGCCTCCAGGCTCATTGATCAGCAACCAAAGGTATGTGAAGTCTGGGGTCTGAGCAGTCACAACACTAAGATTGTTGTTGAGAGAATATATCATGACTTTTGTTTTTACAGTTGCAACCCATCCCCTTTCTCCATCCTCATTAGGCATACTCTGTAAATATTTGAGCCTTGAGTATCATCTGTCTAATCATCCACATGTATCAGGACAAGCAAAACCAGGAAAGGTGAAGGTCTTGAAAGTAATGTAAAGACATTAAGCACTTCCAGAGTATTCATTAACTACCCTGTACTACTAGGCTATGAGAGGGTTTTGGTTGAGGTCCAGGTTTAGTTTACTCCTCTAAGGCTCTAAGAGGTTCTTGAGAGAAGCCAGCCATTGACAATGTCAGGGAGACAAAGCAGAGGCAGGGAAATTTACTTATGGTCTGTCTCCTATAACCTAAGCCTGAAAAGGCCCAGGAGCCATAGGCAGGCTTGGAGAAGAAGTCATCATGGGTAGCAAGAGGAAGGCAGGAAAGGGACCAAGGAAAATGACAGGGAGAACTGAGGCCTGAAAGGGAAGAGGTGTAGGATGAGTCAGTGTGGGTGTGAGGAAGGGAGTTCTACAAAACACACAGAGTACATGGCTATTGGACTGGGGCAAAAGCAAGGGGCAGATCCAGCCTTGAGCTAGAAATGCACAGCTGCAAGTAGAAGTTTGTGTTGGGGCCTGGTGGATGTAGGAGGAAGTGACTGTATACCGTGTGGTATCTACTGTCCTGGATGATGTCAAAAACAGTCACAAGCCAGTCTTTCCCAAGTAAGAGATTTACTGTGTCTCATTACCTCACCTCAAAGATGTCCAGGCTTTGCTGGGCCCTGCAGCTCACTGGGCTCTCTACTCTTATAGGTTTATCAGTGGTCTGTGAACAGCTTGCAAAACTGTCATGGTCATGCCCTGTCGGTTTCTCAGGAAGACCTACAGCCCATTGCCTGAGGTGCTATGAGGTGCAATGGGTAGGGTCCAATGAGGGGAGCTGCACTGAGGGAGGTGGCTCTGCAGGAATTCTCAGGGGTGGGTGGAGAAACCAACAATAGCACAGTGCCCTCTGATCTGTCCATGCCCCTGCTGCAGGGAGCAGAGCTGTAGAGGGAGGTGTTTGTATGCAGGACAAGACTTGCCTTAAACACCAGTCCATGCCAAGGCGAACCTGGCCAGATGGAGAACAGCTTTATGGGGGTAATTCAGTTTCTGCCTGGATTGGAGTAATCCCAGCGGTACCACATCTGCCAGGTTTACCCCCTTGGTACTGGGAAGACCAAGCAGAGTACAGTGTTTGGCAGTCACCAGTGTCACAGGTGTCTGCAGCAGACAATGACAGCGGCCCGAAAGGGTGGGGATTTTTAAGTAACTGCGAAGTTATAGAGTTTGGCTGCTTTGCTAGCTCTATCACAAACACACAGTGAGTTCCTTACTACAATGACTGCCCTCCTCTGCCTCTGGCACAGACCCCCCCCCACCCCCGCCCCCCAACATCGCGCCTATAGCTATTTTTAAACAGGAGGCTGGAGAGAAAAACTAGGCCAATGAACCAAGGGGAAAAGAGGCAAGGCGAGGCGAGGAGACAAAGCTGCCCTGCAGCTCTAACCAAAGGATCAGCAAGAAACCTGTTATAGGCCCGCCTGCCAGCCGGGTCTGGCGCCAGATGTGCTTTGGAGGCCCAAAAGGAGAGGATGAGACTTGGGGCCACAGGGCCAAGGTTCCAAAGGGAAGGCAGCGGCCCACGGGCCAACTGAGGTCGACTGGGAAGTGCAGTGCGGAGATTCTGATCTATGCCTAAACCAGTCGCCATCCGGCCCAAGCGAGCTCCCAGGGTTCATTCGAAAACAGAGGCAGGAGAGGCACAGCAGAGAGAAGAGGGAGGGGCCTCAGCAAGGCCTCAGGGGTGAGCAGTATGGGCATAACACAGCTGTTCCAGCAAAAGTGCTACAACAAAGCTTCACCACCCCAGGCCTACAAATACACTGCTGGGGGTGCTGGTTGGAGGGGGGACGACTGCGCAGTAGCACGTGCGGGCCCATCCCCACGTCCAAGTGCCCGAAGGTAAGGCCCAGGTTAGCCTGCCGGCCAGTTCTCCTTCCCCAACCCACGCCTCGCCGTGGTCGCCCGCCCCCAGGGGACTCGGGACCGCTCGGCCCTCCACTGGACAGTCCGCAAAGCGGGTTCCAAAGGAGACAGGCTAGAGACCCAGACTCCGACCGGCCCAGCCTTCAGGGCCCTCCTTCAGGCGACCTAAGCGAAGCACGCGGGAATGCACCCGACCGACAGCAGCCGGAGGCTCCTGGCTGCCTGTAAAGCTTACCCGTCCCGGTACAGCTCCCTACCCGGTTATTTATTGTCTGCTGTGCCGCTCTAGCCCCAGGTGGAGCCGGGGCTGCCGCGGCTAAGAATGCCACAACCGCTGCTTTTGCTGCTGCTGCTGCCGCCGCCGCCGCCGCCGCCGCCGCCGCCGCTACCGCCAGGGATCCACAATCACCTCTCGTACAGACTCCCCTTCCCCAGGTTCTAGGCAGCTCCCCCATACTCTCTCCCCAGGACTCCTTGGACATAGGGTGGGGCGTCCGAGCTGATTGGCGGGCGTGTGGCCCAATCTCTATGGTAGATAGGCATGCTCTGGTCCGCCCACTGTTTTCCTTGGTGCGTTTCTCTTTAAATGCAAATAAGCGCAGGCGTGGTGTTGTCTGGGGAAGGAGAGGGTGCGGAACCTCTTGCTGGGGCTCTACCCTCCCTCCTCCACGTGGGGCGGGTGGCGGCGTAGCTAAGCCGCTGGCTCAAGGAGCCGGTTCAGCCCGGATGAAACTCGCTGGCTCTCCGGACCTCGGTTTCGCTTTTGCGGGCACTCCCATTTCCGAGACTGCCGTGCATTCGCGCTACTGCTCCCTGGCCGCCATCTAGAAGTTTATTCCCAGAGCTAGAATCTGCCACAGAGAAGTGGGGGAGAGAGGTTGAGGAGGCTGGAGGGACTGCAGAGCCCCTTGGCACCCTGGCTGGCCCATCCTTAGGCTTAGAGGCAGGGCCACGTGGCTAGCACTCCAGGCCACGCAGAGGAAGTGCTCAACTGCTAGGAAAGCCAATTGTGGCACCTAGGTCCTACCTTTGACCACCTCTAACACACCAGGACCCTTACTTAGGAAGGGCACCATTGAGGTAAATTTGCATCTGTTATTGAGGGTCCACTGTTGCCCAGAGAAGGGGAGGCACTTTTACAAGAATATTGTTATGGCCTGTATCTAGATGTCCCCCAAAACCTCTAGTGGTCATAGGTGTGGCTTTTCAGAGATGGCTGGATCAAGGGCGTGTGATGGTGGGATTAAGGATGTGATTTGGGGATTAAGGGTGTGATGCTGAGGTTATAGGTGTCCCACCCTGGGTGTGGGTAGCGCCAATCAATGGATGGGTAGCCTGGATGAAATATAAAGGCTGGCTTGGTTGCTTCTGCTACTTTGCTGCTTTGCTGCTTTCTCTTTGTCATGCTATGAACCATTCCTCCTCTGTGATGCTCCTCTGCCATGCCACCCTGCCTTGGAGCCAGCCAACTATGGACTGAAGCCCCTGTAAACTGTGAGCTACAATAAACTTTTACTCCTTTAACTTGAGTGTTGGCTAGTTTGTCTCAGCAAGGAAAAAAGTAATTAAGACAGGTACCTAGCCCACCAGGGACAGGAACAGTTTTAGAATCCTGAGTCCTGGGATTATCCTCCAGGGCTGCTTTCACTTTTCTTCTGTGGGGAGATAACTGTTGACATAGTTTGATCCTCACCCAAATTTCCTACCTTCCAGGGAACATGGAGGGGATTCATAAAGTCTCTGGTGTGTACCTCACCCATTCTTAATTTCAAGGGTGGCTTTGTGGAGATCTCTTTCCCTGAAAAGTCTGAATATTGAGAGAAAAGTCGTTTGGGCCCTAATTGGAGGTCAGGCTGAGGACAATAATGAGTCCTGTACTAACCTTGCCTCCTACTGTTTCTGAGATGTGGTAAGAGTCCAGCTGAGTTTGGGTCTCTTGCTTGAAGGAATTAAGGGGCATTAGTGGCTGCTAGGGCCAGGTGAGCTGAGGCAACAAAGAATCCAGTTGTACCACTAGCTCAAGAATATCCAGAAGGCCCAGCATTAAAACTCTGTGAATGTCTTAAAAGAGGAGGGGAAGTGGGTTAAGCTTGAGAAGAGAGGGAAAGATTAGAAAACAATGTGAGCAATTTTTTCATTGTAGGAGTATTCTCTATTGCTCTGCTGGGTCCTGTCTGCGTTGAAAAGACCCAGCTGCTGAACTGGTAAGAGGTTGACTGCTGCCTCTGCATGCGTGGAGCACAGGAACTGACATGGCTGTGAGGGCTGGATTTGCTGTACCTTGGAATTGCTGTGAGACTTGGGCCAGTTTATCATCCCACCTCTACAAGGAGGTAAGTTCTATCGGTTCAGCTCAGTTCTTCCTATAATTTTCTACTATGTTCCATGACCTTTTATGACATTATGCACATCCATAAAAAATAGTGTTGGACATTGCACCCTCATCCTAGTCCTGGGTTTAAATAAATGTCTAGGAATGAGGAGTTTACTGCTGACTTATTGTGCAGCTTTTTTGGGTAACTTCTGTCTCCCTAACTTTGGTATCCCTGTCTGGATTGGTGGATTCTGTTTTTCTGCCCTGCAAAGTCCTGATTCTCATTCATTGGGCCTACTCTGGAAGTATTTTTTCTTTATATCACCTCCATCATAGGCTTTCCTGCTGCCTTGTGCCTCTGCTAGTTGCTCACATTTTGCTCAGAACATTAACTCTCTGAATTAGGCCAAGATTATAATTTGTAGAACTCCATTTCCAAATCTACAATCCAGAGAAACAAAGGGCCAGAGCAGTCTTAGATGTGAGAATATGGAGGGAGAAGGTGTGCATAGTGTATGTATGTGTGCGCTCATGTGCATGCACGTGTTTACACACTAAGGGGAAGGGCACATGAGAGGGAGAGGTACAGCTTCTTAATTCATGTGGGTAACTTGTATCTTAAAATACCTTTTTTTCAGAGGAATCCACCAAGGCCCTCCATCCCACATGCTGACTGACACTTGAAAGATTTACTTGGCCATGACAGGAGTTGATGGTGGGGAGGAGAAATTCTTTCTTAGATTTTTTAAATCTGAAAAATGGAGAAACCCCCTTGCTACCCAGCATCTGTGGCTGCATTGAAAAGCTGAAAGTACAGGTGTGTGAAGAGAACTTCATAAACTCAATTACACAGATGAGGCCACAGTGCTTGTTTCTTTTTTCACCAAATGTTCCATGGGCACCTCCTCTATGCCAGGCCTGACAATAGGTGGTAACTTTCTTGGGGGACCTAAAGAGAGTTCAGAGAAGAGCTGAAAGCTAAACCAGAGGCCTGGCAAAGATATGCTAGAGCACTGCAGGTGAAGAGAGTTCTTCTTCCCAGGTGGGAAGGGGCATCAGAGAAAAGTTCCATAGAGGATAGCCTTGATTGAATTGAGTCAGAAATGGGAAGGATTCCTACCCAAGCCAAAGCCCATCAGTGTGAGAAGGTATAGTGGTTTGGGTAAATGCTAAAATTCTGGTTAGCTTTGGTTACTTGTGTAGTGAGAAAAGGAAGAACTGGATATTATATAGTACTAGAAAGATCTGAGGCCAAAATGTAAAAGGGCCATGATTTCCTGGGTAAGTTGAGGGTCAACTAAGTAAGTTTATCCTTTCCATGGAAGTAGTACAGTGTAGTGGCTCTGTACCAGACTGCTTGGGCTAGGATACCAACTCATTCCCTTAGGAGCAATGTGGTGTGGGCAGTTTAAATCACCACAACTAGTCTTAGTTTTCTTTTCGACAAAATGAAGATAATAATACTGCCCTGCCACATATCACAATGTTGTGCTCTTTGTAAAGTGGCACATAGGCTAGTACATACAAGGCTCTCAATAAATCTTAGCTATCATTATCATTATTTTTATTATTCAGTCTCCTTCTGATCCAATATACAGATCTTCAAAATTATGGAACTCATAATATGACTTTGAAATCATTTTTAGCATAAGCACACTTGAGCCTGTGATTTCTTATGCAAGATTCCTTTTGATGATGCAGGCCTAGACTGAGTTTCCTAGGGAAGAGTTTTTTGTTCATCTTTATATCCTCAGCATGCAGCAGAGAGCTTAGCACAAATGTAGTGCTGATCACAGTCAAATAAGACATTTTAAAATCTAATATCAACCTTAAATGCCAACATCCATCACTGAAGTGTGATGTTTCCACTCACTGAATACTTCTGCTATGTCAGGTGTAAAGTACTGCATTCATTAACCAGAATGGTGAACTAGACACAGCTTTTGTCCTCAAAGCCCACTAGTCTAGTAGAGGAGTAACACATCTCATCAGACAATGTCCTGCAGTTTCCAGTTGAGGCAAGGGACTACTGGATGTTATTCCCATCTGTAGAACTGAGGAACATACAAACAGGATTTTAAAACATATTCTGTTTAGGACATTCTCAGTTTTTTGCATGTCAGAAACCCAACCTTAGGACCTTTGCATTTGCTGTTTCCTCTGTCTACAATGTTTGTCCTCATATATAGGCATGGTTTGAACTTCGTTTAGGTGTCTGTTCAAAAAGTTATGTTTAATGTGACCTTCCCTGGAGACTCTATACATGAAATAGCAATCCTTGTTCCCATTCCCTTCCCTTTCCAATCCCTTAATTGGCTTTTTCCCATATCCCTTGCATTTATCACCTCCTGTGATATTATTTCTTCTTACTATTTATGTATTTATATTGTCATTTTTTATCGCTTCTCAGCCTTTTGGCTAAGATCACGTGTAGTATCTGTTCTTATCAGTTTAATATATTATCATTTTTTTCATTGTCCATTTCCATTATGTTAATGGAAGCTCCCTAGTGGCTAAGAGATAGGGAACAAAATATATAGGTAAATATATTTAGTATATACTTTGTTCCAAGGAAATACCTGCAAAGCTGGGGCAAAGGAGAGCATAACTGCTGAAAACATTAGCATTATAAAGAAGCCAAGTACTTTATACAGGGACCAGAAGAAAGATGGCTTGAGAGCATCCCGGAAATCATCAAGACCCCAGCCATGTTGTCTTTCTCATTCGGGGGTGCCTAGAGAAGCATATCCCTGAGTTCAACCATCCAAGCAGTCAGAGGTATAGCGAGGCCATTGTCTACGGGGACACAGCTACTTCTTATGCTGGAATCTGACTTTGGGGTCATCTACATGGTGCTAGTTTTTCAGGCATTCAGACTGTAAAAGATTTGGCATCTAGGAGGCTTCCACCTCAATTTCAGAAGACCTAGTAGGAGAATAAGACCATGAAAAATGGTCACAGTTCCTGTGAGAGAATAGTGTGTAAAGCTGTGAGAGTGAAGCCAGAAGTACAGGGGAGACCCCAGGAATTTGGAGATGCCAGGAATGTGGAATATTTGCTGAGGAAAGCAGTAGGCTGAGAATGGAGCCAGCCCAGAGAGATGCGATGTGGGCTTAAACCAGCATAGTGGTGGAGCTTCCCAAGCTCTTTGGAGCCTGCATCTCACCCCAACCTGCCCTGGATGCTGGAGATGCAGCTTAGGATTTAATGTTTGCCCTTCTGGGCTTTGATCTTGCTTTCATGCAATTTCTGTCTGTTCCCCATTCCTCTCTTTTGTAATGGCAATGTTTACTCTGTGCCATTGTATGCTGGAAGTATTTGACTTTCTTTTTCATTTTTATAGAGGCATAAAGCTAATAATTTTCCTTGAGTTTTAGAGGAGACTTTGGTTTTGGAATTTTCAGCAATGCTGGAACTAAGACTTTGGTGACTCTCAGCAATGAACTAAATTCATTTTGCATAATGAGATGAATATGAGCTTTTATGGGGCCAGGGGAGAAATATTATATAGTTCAGATTTGAAATGTTCTCCAGTAGTCTCGCATTCAGAAACTGGGCTAGATCAGAAATGGCTGGTCACTGGGGGTATGAAATGGAAGGGTATATTCTTACCCCCAGTTCCTCCCTTCTCTCTCTGCTACCTGGTTGGCATGTGGTGAACAGCTTTCCTTCACCAGGCCATCTGCCATGCTGTTTCTTCCTTGGAGGCAGCTGATCATGGACTGAATCAACTGAAACCATGAGCCAAAATAAACCTCTCTTTCCTTAAGTTGTGAGTTCTTGGTGTTTTATCCCAGTGAGGAGAAAGTGACTAGTACAGTGAGGAAAGAGAATGTATTCAGTTTCCTTGTTCAAGCAGTTGACTGCAAACAGGTAGTGGCTAGCAGGGGCCCGGGTTTCATTTTTATTTTTACAAAATAGGATGTAAGCTTGTTTACATGTCAAGAGAAAAATAGTGAAATAGAGGACATGGAAAACAGGATAAATGATGGTGGGTCGCCTTGGATGAAATTAGGGGATGGAATCCAGACAGCCTGCAGATGAGTTAGCCTTGGCTAGGAGGAGGGGCCAAGATAAGAGGGAGAGATAGATGGATGCAGGAGAGCTTTTTGTCATGGAAGATTTTAAATATTGTGCCTAATGATGTGTACCTGATCTGCAAGGTGGAAGGCAAAATCCTCTGTTGATAGAGGAAAAGTATTAAGGAAGCATTTTAATTTTGGGCAGCATTTGAAATAGCTACTGAAGAGCATGGGTAGTTGATAAAGGCCCAGGTGGACTGTAACCTAGGAATGTAAAGCCATTTCATTTTGTAGTTTTGTGAGCGCCTACTTCCTAATTATATGACCTTGAACAAGTAACTTACCTTATTATACCTCTATTTCCTCATCTCTACAATGGGCATGAATAAGACAAGGCTGTTGAATTAAATGAGTTACTTCATATAAAGAGATTACTGAGTACATTGCCTAGCCCATAGTTAAGTGCTCAATAGAAAGTAATTCTTCAGATATCTTTTTAAAACAGAATTATTAGTATTATTTCTGATTGACAAATCATAATTGTATTTATTTATGAGGTACATTGCAATGTTTTGATACATGTATACAAAGTGGCAATGTTAAACCAAACTAGTTAATATATTCATCTCACTTGTCATTTTTTAATGATGAGATATTTGAAATTTTGTTTCTTAGTTACATCTCCCAGTTTACCAGTACCATCATTCTACTGTCCACTCTTTATAATTTGGTTTTTTGGGGTTTGTTTCTTTTTGGTAGCAGGGATAGAACTCAGGACCTTGTGCTTGCAAGGCAGGTGGTGGAACCACTGAGCTAAATACCCGGCCCTCTTTATGTCTCTGTAATGACTAGTTATTTTATGGTATTCATCAGCCTCGGCTTAGGAGGGGACATTGGCTTGATCCAAGTTGGTGTGCTACTAGTTAAGAGATTGAAATAATTGAGCACAGAGTCAATTGATGAATGGCTAAGAAAAACATGGTACATATGTATAACAGAATACTATTCAATCAGAAAAAATGAAATCCCGTCATCTCTTACCACATGGATGTACCTGGAGATCATTATGCTAAGTTAAATAACCCAGATACAGAAAGACAAGTACTAGATTATATCATTCATAGGTAGAATCTGAAAAAGTTGATCTTATAAAAGTTGAGATTAGAATGTTGGTTACAGTAGGCTAGGGAAAGTAAAGAAGGAAAAGTAAAGAAGTTGATCAAGGGGTACTGAGATATGGTTAGATAAGAGAAATAAGTTCTGATGTTTTATTGCTCAGTAGGGTGACTATAGAGAATGATAATATACTGTGTATTTTAAAAATCTAGAAAAACTGATTTTGAATATTTTCAGCATAAATAATGATAAATGTTTGAAGAGATAGATTTGTTTAACCTGATTTAAACATTATAGAATGTATACATATATTGAAACATCAGAGGTACTCCACAGTATATATATTTTTATGTATCAGTTAAAAATTTAAAAAAATATATAATTGAAAAGAAAAGATGAACAGGAAAGGAGAAGTAAAAAGAGAGGGAAAATAGAGACTAGGAGTCATATGTTGCCTGAAATTCAGTGTCTAGCACAGAAGTAAGTACTTAATAAATACCTTTCGAGTGACAGAGATTCTGTGGGTTCAAACCCTAGGGTTCCAGGAATGAAACTTCTAGAAAAGCAAGCAATTCTGACTATATTGAAGTTCTGAGTTTTCAGGTGAGGTTAGGAGTGCTAAAATAGAGAGTAGGTGATGGTGTAAGAATCAAGGAGATGAAGGAACTACAGGTCAGGATATTTAAGGAATCACTGGACCAGATACTGCCATTAGCCCAGTTACTGCCATTCTACTGGGAAGAAGAACCTTTGTAGAGACTGGCAAAGTAGGAGCTTACAAGCAGGCTAGTGGCTGGAAGCTAATGTTTTCTGTACTTGTAGGTGAACAGAAATCAGAGGATACCAGAATAAAGCAGATGGTTGTAGACCTGATTGTATAGTTGCAGGATTTCATCAGAGCAGAGAGAAAATATGAAGTCCCATTGTAGTTTGGAAATAGTATTGGGCCACCTGAAAGGGAAAGGGAAAGCTCTGATGTTCCCATAGGGCATCCTTAACCCAAGTCCCCGTTTCCTGTTCCCAGTGCCTGGTGTATTATGTACATCTGAACAGAAACTGTTCTGCCTGTCAAGCTGGGTTTTTCTATGAAGTAGATGAAATGGTGAGTGTGTAAATTTAAGTAAATTTGCTCTGTGCCCACAAGAGAGTGGTTAATATAGCCAGATTTGCCCTGGGAATCAGGGAACACATTCTCCATATGCTTCAGTAAGTCATTCCTATGACTGAGCGTGTCTCATACTAAGAACTAAAAATCTTTATTTCCAAAATACTAGGATATTTGCCATTCTCTTCAGTCTAGTAGCTAACCTAGTTCCCATTAAAATACACCAAGCTGGAACCAAACTAAACTATTGCTCAGAATACTCTGTGTTTTCCCAATTCTATGCTTTTACTCAATGCCCCCTCATACTTTTTTCTTCCTCTCTGATAAATAATATCCTGTCAACAAGATCAAATACCACCTCTTCCATCAGATTTTCAATCATTTTAACAGGTAAAGAGGTTAATCTGATTTTTAGAATCTCATGACCTATTTCTCTCTTTGGATCTAGGGTTTGGGGCCATATTCCTGAATAAAACAAAACAAATTTCCTATTTCAAGAAAGTGTATAGACTGGTCAATAGCAGCTGCAAAGTAGAACCAAGACTCTGGCTCATGGCAATGTTGGGGAGGAAGAAAGGGAGTATCTTAGTCTGCTTGTACTGCTATAACAAAATACCTTAGACTAGGTAATTTACAAACAACAGAAATTTATTGCTCACAGTTTAGGAAGCTGGGAAGTTCGAGATCAAGATTTTGTGTCTGGTGAAAGCCCATTCCTCATATATGGTGTCTACTATGTGTCCACACATGGCAAAAGGAGGAAAAAGGAGCATACTTTCTAGTATAAGGGCACTGTTCCTGTTGATAAGGATGAAGCCTTTATAAAACTTAATCACTTCTTACAATCCCCACCTCCAAATACTATCACATTGAGGATAAATTCCAACATATGAATTTTGGAGGATACCATATTCAGACTTTAGCACAGTGATGGTGAATCTTTTAGAGACCACCAAGTGCCCAAACTGCAACTCCAAACCCGCTGATTTATTGCAAAGTACAACATTGCAATTAAACTTGAATATCCAATGCTTGGCTCCTGGGGTGACTTGGCTTGTGTGCCAACAGAGAGGCCTCTGCAAGCCTGCTGTGGTACATGTGACATAGGTTCACTATCACTGCCCTAGCAGAAAGGACAGAGGAAAAAGAGTGGATAAAAAGGAAGGAAGGAAAAGAAGGTCAGGAGGGAACAGAAAGAGAGGAAAGTGAAGAACAGAATGGACCTAGCATTCACTTGAAGTGGTTAAGACTTCCTGAAACCTGGTGGTTGTGGCTGGGGCAGGGTGAAAAGGAAAGGGAATGGGGAGTCTAGTCTCTTAATTGAGGTCAATGCCAACAAAGACAAAAAGGCTTAGGGAAAGATTTCACCCCAGGAACAGTAATAACACCATTGCTTCCTCTTCATACCTCCTAGGTGAAATCACTTTGGACTATTCATCATCAAGATTTTAGATGCATTCTCACCCAGAGCTCAATGTCTAGATGAGAACCTTTGTGAGGCTGGAGATAGTAAAGGACTAGGACACTAGATTTTGAAGTCATCTTTTCCCACTACCAACATAGGCAACTGGAAAAAAGAATGGTTTGGATAGTCTGAAGAGCTGGACCACCAATAAAATGGGCACTTAAGTTTGTTGGGTTCTCATTCCCCTCATGTAGAAAATAGAGTTGTTTCAGTCTTTCCTCTCTGTTCATTATTTGATACACTCCTATAATATCTTCAAATACAGTCATTTGAAATGCCAAGAGTATCCATGTGCTTTCATGTATCAACCAGAGAATCTGTGTTTCAAGTGCCACAGGGGAGGCCAATCCGACTGGACTCCACTGAAGGATGTACTTTCCCAAGACTCTGTAGCAGATGGGGTGGTTGGGGTTGACCCCTAATCCTCAAAAACCTTTTCCATAGGGATAGGGAGCAAGGTCAGGGGTTTGGTTCTGGACAAATCACTTCTCAGGAGCCCAGACTGAAAGAAAATCAGAAGAGAGCTTGGCATGCCTAACATTAAGCCCTCTGTCTATGTTTATAGCTATTCAGCTCTCATGATTGTTGGAGATAAACAGTTTCACTGTTCTCCAAAGTGTCTAAAAATGAAAATAGGGAAGCTGATTGGGCAGGATCATGCAGATATCTAGATTTTTTGCCTTCTCTTCTAAAGTATCTTAGGAACTAGTGGTTAGGGAGAGTGGCAGAAGAGAGAGACAATTCAGTTAGGACCCCATCCTCTGCCTTCCTTTTGCCATGACTGGAGAGCATGATTTAAGGGCCTGTCAAGGCAGCATTCAGGAAGAACTCTAAGCATCTAAAATGCTTCCTGGGAACAGATTATATGGGGCTGTCCTCCTCCACCTTTTCATGTCATATCTCTCTCACTACTCATCCACATCCTCACTCATAGATACACAAAGGAAATACAAGAAGGTCTTGTGGAAGGATGAAGATTTAGTATTTTTTTAAAAGGTACATAGATGTGGGTACACAGTCTATCTGCCTCCATTCATTGCTCTTCTTGGTGTCATAGGGTGTCTCACTCCATAGGCTACATTTCCTGGTCTCCCAATTCAACTACCTTCTGGCTTGATTCAAGCAATGGAAAGCACTGATGGAAAGACAGGATAAACGGAGAATCCAGGATCCTTATCCTCTGCTGTCTTTGCCTCAGTTAACGACTATGCTGTATGTCTTCTACGGTTTCTGCTGTCAACATACTTCCAGTATTGCTGTGTGATTCCAGCTCATGGCTCAGGTCATACTACTTCCTCCCATTGTCTCTCCATTTATCTTCCCCCTGCTCTGCTCTGTATTACAAGGGGTCTGACCTCTATAGGCTGTTTCCAAGGCTCTAAAATTAGTTGACTTCAAGTTTTCCCAAAAAGAGAGACATCAGAGGCAGACAAGAAGGCAAGAATAAGGGAAAGGATAGGGTTATTTCTTCCTTTCCTCTGCTTTGGACAGTATGTCTCATTTATGCATCTAGCTATTATGGATTCCACTTCCCAACAGGTGATTCTTTCCCCTGATTCTGGAAATAACCTATCCCCTTCCTCCTCTAGCCTAGGGGTGACATTGGCTTCTTGCTGTCATTAATCTCTGGGTTACCTCTTTGTCCTGGTTGGATTCTCAGCCTATCACCTATATAACCAATTTATTGTTTGCATTAAATTCCCTGTTATAAATATTTGATTGGTTGTTTTCCCAGTTGATCTTGACTATGAACTGGACTGGTGGAAATGCAGCCTACAATTTACTGTGTGAATGAATGAGAAGCACCTTGGTCATTTGACTCAAAGTAATGAGAAATAGGGGATAGCCCCAAAAATGGTGCCTTGTACCAGCCAGAGAAGTAAAGAGCCACAGGGCTGGGCACCCACTTGGATTCTTCATGATCTTGCTTTCAGGGAAACATGGCTCCAAACTCTATAGGAGACCTTGATGGAGGAGGTATAGCCATTGGGTTGGTTTTCTCTCGATTTTTGAGTGGTCAAGACTCCTACACCTATCAGATGCTAGAAAAGTTCCATCCTTCCATGGCCAATCAAACACTTTCCCCAGTGAACCCCCACTTCCACCCCAGACACAGTAGCAACCAGGACTTATTTTGTTGAGGATTTTATTATGGAGGATAATATGGGAGAGCAGCTCAAGTGCATAGAACTGTAGTTTTCTCCAGCTACCTGGTCTTCAAGTGGTTCTTGAAGGCATCATGGACTCCTGGGAATACTTCAAGATTACAGTTGGTGTTTCAGGTAGGTAATCAACATGGAGGGAATATCCAGCTGGTCGATGGCTTGTGGCTGGTTGGCCTGGTGCAGGGCTCTGCGGATAACTAAACGGGCCTGGGATAGGAGCGACTGTGGAGTAGCTACAGCAAGGAAAAATAGATCATGAGGAGCATTTCTCAATATAATTTTCCTGCCAAAGCCTACGTTTACTCTACCCTGGCTACTACTGCTCTAATATCCTCTCCCTTCTGAAAAATGTCCCCCTCTGCATGGTACCAGTGAAGCTGTACTGAGAACTATTCTGGGCGTGCTCAAGGCCACAAAAACAGTCATTGGCAGAGGCAAGGCCAGAAATAGAGCAAATGCTTCTTCCCCCACCTCATCTTAGTGACCCTTTCCCTAACATGGAGTCTGTAACATTTTCTCCAATGAGACCAAAGGAGAGAGAGGAAGATGAAGTTTTCTCTAGTTCATCCCATAGAAATGGCTTGAACAGTGATTTGGAGTGCTTGGGCCTATAAGGTGGGGGTCCTGTGGGTCTGGCTTGCTTACCACTCACCTCTGGCCTGTAGCAGCAATGCAACACCTTTATCATCTTTCGAGGTCATATCCAGTGGGAGAGATGGAAGGTAGATGTTAGCGCCAAAATCAATTAACAACTGGATATACTCTGGCTCACAGTTATGGTGGAGGCAGATTTCAAGGAGGGTTCGGGGCTGGGGAACATGAACCAATAGGCCCTTATCGGTGCAGTTGTAATCAGGATCTGCCCCATGGAGTAAAAGCAGGCGAAAACAGTCGAGGTGCCCATAGACTGCAGCCAAATAGAGGGGGCCAGAACATAAAGCTATGTTCGATGCCCACACTGGTAGTTTAGCCTTGACATTGGCATCTGCTCCATGACCTAGGAGCTCCTGCAAGATGGCAACAGAACCATCACGGGCAGCTGTGAGCACAGGAGAACAGTTGTTGTAGATGCTACCACCAGGACAGGCACCAGCTTCCAAAAGCACACGCACACAGTCCAGATGGCCATGACTGACAGCAGTGAAAAGTGGTGTCTGTGCTTTGACATCTAAGCTGTCAACATCAGCACCATGTGCTAGGAGGACCTGCAAACAGCTTAAGTGGCCATAAGAAGCAGCCAAACGCAAAGGTGTCCCAGGAACACCCCAGCCACTCCTGCTGTTAATGAAACGTTTGTAACGCTCTTGACATAGAAGCTGATCCAAGGTATGAGAGTCGTTGTCATATACTGCTTGATTGAGAGCCTGCTTCTCCCCGGTGTCAATGTCCTCCTCCTCCTCTTCGGGCTGCAGGAGGGAGAGGATCTTGGTGATGTCCATGAGGTTCATCTTGGCTGACTAGAACTGGACTATTCTCATTATGAGGAGGAGGGTATGCAAATCTGTGGATAACAAAACAAGGAGGACAGACTGAAGCTCCTTTTCAAAGCTCCGGAATGCTACCTTCTTCATGAACCTCTTGTCCCCTGCCCATCACCACCAGGCTACTCATCCATGAGTCTCCTGCTTCTCACTCTCACTCCTAGCTATCTTATTTCAGTCCCCAGGGACAACTGTCAAAGCAGGTGAGGCCATTTCACAGCTTGGTGCTTTTGCATATGCTATTCTACATGCCCCTCAGACCCTTACTTCTGGGATGCCTTTTTTGGTTTCATCCTGCCTTGGGATTCTAAAAGAATTACAGCTAGATTTCAGCTGTGAGCTTTCAGTGCATTTCCACATATCTGTGCTCCATTAGAATATAAACTCCAGTGTGAAGATTCTATTCATCTTGCATTCCTTCACCTTCAGTAGAGCCTACATCATGGCTGAGGATTTGGTAGATCCATTTTACTCAGTTTAGTATATGTGGTTTAATGAGGTGGCTTGAGTTTGGCAGTTGCTAGGCCAATAAAATGATGGTTTGTAGTGTCAAGCTCGTATCCCTGAGCATTCCGATATCAGTCTTATGGGTCAGACCCTCATCTCTGCATCTCTCCCTTTTAGGTGAAGTTCACCTTCACAGCCCCTCATGTCTGAAGAAATCTTCTTCTGAGTTTTCTGTAGCCTTCTCTCAGTCTCAGACCCCATGCTTCAGGAATAGAGGAAATCAGAAAATGGGTGTTGAATGACATTTACTGATTAAACGAAGAGGTACATTATGAAGAGGCTACTTAATGTAAAAGGAAGGCAAGCAGATGGCAGAAAACAAAGTTTCTAGAGCAAGTTCTATCTGGTATAATTGGTTTGCCCCCCAGAAACACTCTAAATCAGGAGTTCCCCAGATTGCCAGTATCTCCTCATAACCTACAGCTCCCCCATTCTTCTGTTTCAAGCTTTTTCCCATTCTTTGCACAATCCAGGCTGGAACCTTGACTCCAACCTCAACTCTTGTCCCCTCATAATCATCAGGCCCACAAAATCACTCACAACTCAATGATTTATCCACTGAGCTTACTAGTCCTATTCTTAGTTCTCCAAAGTGAAGTTCACCCACCTCATTTTGCAGTGCCATCAGTGTGAGCTGGTAGGTTTTCTAGAGCTCAGATCTCCTTACTCTCCCATATCCTGCAGCCAAGATCTCAGAGCTGCATACATATTTTTATTCACTGTCTACCCCCACCCCTCTTTGTTAGCTAGGGACTTCAGGTACTCACCTCATATAAAAAAATTTTTTTGAGGTGAGTGGGGTCATCTTCAACTTTAGGCCCCTTTCCACTGGCCAGCATGAGCTCCATATATAGTCCTAATATTTATTCATTCTTGGGGTACAATGGAAATAGGATTTGTAAAATCAGCTAGTCCCAGATTTGTAGCTCAGTACCCCCTAGTTCCTAATGAGTAAGCTTGGGCAAGTCACTTCCCTTTTTCATGACTCTTCTTTTCTCATTTACCAGACAGAAATAATAGCCTATGTTTCATGGGATTGGTAGGAGAAAGAAAACTACCCATATATGAGATCATCAAGGGTAAGCTTCTTTTGTGTGCACCTTCAATCTCCTTACTTTGGCTCTTCCCCCTCAATTATTTTAGAAACCAAAACAAAATTTCTATAGTCATTTGCTTCACTTCTATACCTACCTTCCTATCCATCTTTCCTCCTTTTTTTGTGGCACAGGGAAAGAACCCAGGGATTTTACACTGAGCTAAATCCCCAACCCTTTTTATATTTTCTCTTCTGAAATAAGGTCTCACTAAGTCAGTAAGTTGTCCAGGCAGGGCTTTAACTTGTGATCCTCCTTCCTCAGCCTCCTAGGTGTGTACACTAGGCCATCTTTCCCTTCTTTACCAAATGTGTCAAATTATCTACTACCTGCTTTCCTATTTTCCATTTACTTCAGGCTCTGCAGTCTGCCTCTATCCACCCTGAGTCATACCAAGAAAGCTCCTAAAAAAGGTCATCTATGTGTCTAAATCCAGTGACTACTTCTTGATCTGATCTTTCATTGCTGACTTTTCTCAGACAGACATGTCCCTACTGACCACTCCTTCCTACAAACTCCTGCTCCATCTTCCTGCCCAGTACCCTGCCCTGACTTTTCTCCCCACCCATTCTTCCCTGGAATATGTATGTCTACCTTGTTCTCATCTCTATCTTCTGCTCCAGTCCCAGAACTTTAGCTCTCACTTTTATTCTGATATTTTGAGCCCCCAAGCTCTCTCTTGAGCTCCAGGCATGTACCCCACTAAGTTTCTACAGGTACTTCAAGGTCAGAAATATCAAACCACTAAGAGCAGAAGCAGCAGCAGCAAACTTAATTCATGTGTAAGTTTCTCATCATCTGTAAAGGTAAACCAAAATAAAACCCTAAGACCCATCTCAGTCCCCTTAACTCTTGTCTCACTCCCATCAAACTCATTAATTCTTGTGGATTTTACTTCTTAGAAACACCTCCAGGCCATCCCCATCCCCCAGGCCCATATCTATTGCCAGTACTTTATCTAGTCTCTTACCTTTTTTTTAGCCTTGTAACAGCTGTAATAGTTTTCTAGATAGTTTCTCCTTTCAATATTTTCTTCATATTGCACCTAAAGTGATAATTTAATAATACAAATCTGGTCTGCACTATTCTGCTATTTTAAATCCCTTAATAGTTCCCCTCTTTCAGGGTTCAGCTCAGATGATTTAGGTAAGCTCACAGATCTAGCCATTCTCTCCAGTCTCACTTCCTATTAATTTTCTATTTATATTCTGAAATCCGGTGATAAGAAAATGGTGGTTTTCTGTGTATCTTGTGTTTCCTTCTGCCACATATATTTCTTTCTACTGAGTTGGTTCGTCCAGAATCCATGCTCCGATTGTACTATAGGTGTCACCATACTATATTATAACCCCTCTGTGGGTCTGTTTTGCCCTCACTGCAGATGGAGATGCCATACGGTGTAGTGTTAAACCACTGCCTGGCTTCTTCAATCGCAGCTCTATCATTTAGTAACTGTGTGACCTAGGGAAGATTATTTAATCTCTCTGTGCCTATTCATCTTTAAAGAGAGGATAATTGTGCCTGCCTTGGAGTGTTGTTGTTAAGATTGGATACATTAATACATAGCAATTGCTTAAAGTAATGCCTGAATGTATTTCTCAATAACTACTTTTACTATGATGATCAACACTTAGGCCTTCAATTTCTATGATTATTGCTCCTAACTTAATGTCCTATAACTTCAGAGCTAGAGTAGGACTTGTAGATAATTTAATATAATTTTTTCAATTTAGAGATGGGGAAACCAAGGTTCAGAGGGGTAGCATCTACTTTGTTAAAGTCACATGGCTGTAATTATCATCTGTCTCATTTTCAAGAACCCAGAACACATTTATAATCTTGTGCATTTCAAAGCTATTTAATGTAGTACAATAGGTAATGATATCTTCATTGTTTATGTGATGGAAACTAAGGCCAGAGAAAGTGAGGGATTTGCCAGTTGCATCAAGCCAGTACCAGAGCCAGACATAGACTACAGGTTTCCCGATTACTTATCCTGTTCTTTCCACTGCAACATAAAAAACACATATCCTTCCACTTTTTTAAAACAGAGTTACACTGCAGGTCCCAAGATCCTCAGGTTTTGAGTGTCATGCTGAACTTTATGGACTTTGGTAATGGAAGATTCCTGTACAAATCATTTCTCTGATGGTTTGTAGGAATTCTTTCTTTATTTTGGTGACTCAGATCTAGGTAGATGAAGAAAGCAGAGAGCACTGGAGGGAAATGCTGAAGCTTTCACCTAGGTTATTTTTGTGAAACCACAGCAAAACTCATATAATGAGCCTCCAGAGCCAAATCAAGCCAGGGCTTCCTGAAGCTTTGGAACTTGAGTGAATCCTGTTTCCCTTAGATGTGGACAAGAAAATCCAGCTCATCTACTGTCTGTCTTTACCTTGTTGTACTTTATTAATCAAAGAGTTATTGTGTGGCTGCTGTGTACCAAAAGCACTTCTTGATTCCTAAAAGTTCAGGGGTTTTAAACCTTTTTTGGTGATTTTAGCCTTGATAAAATCTGTGGATAAATCTCATTACATTTTTAGTACATAAAATTACATAGGATTAAAGGAAACCAATTATATTAAAATACTGTTATCAAAATATTTTAAAACTATATAATATAGTAATATACATTCTTTATTAACTCATTAAAAACAATATGTAATAATCCCTAAGTTGCAATGAGTGTAAATGACATTTTAAGATCTCTGTCACACTGTAATATGATATGAAATATCTATTTCTTCTTGTAACCAAGTTACATGAACTGGTAATAGTACTGCCATTTACTGCCTGAATTCATTCTTGAAAGAAATAGTAAATTTCAGTTACAGTTTAGGGGTTAGGGAAGGGAAAAAGCTATTTGCTCTTCTGCTTCTGGACCCTTCATATTTTATCTAAGGCCTCTTGGGGTCTATGAATCTAGGTTAAGAACCCCTATAGGAAAGTGACTGGTTTCTGTTGGACCCAGAACACTCCTTCAGGTATTAGTAAACTATTTGTCAGCCTCACCTTTCTTCTCCCACCCTGAAGACCTCTGTTTTAACAATTTTAAGCCCACTGTTTGGCACACCTCCCTCACAGACTTACAACACAATATAAAGATACAAAGACAAAACTTTACCCTCTGTGTAATGTATAACTACAAATGCCCTTAAGTAGGTCCTTATAAATCAGAGAGCCTAGGTGGACACACTTTCTGGGAACAGACAAGACAGGAAGCTGATACAGTATCCCTTCTCCCAAGTGCACCCATGTCCCAGACTTAACAGTAGCGGCTAGGCTCACTTTTCCCTGACAGACTTGTGTCTTATGTCCACATACTTACAAGACTTCAGGCTGAGGCTGCTCTGAGCGGGATTGCTGCCACTGTCCCACTGTGAAGCATTTGGGCCCTGGTGTCCCCTCTGCAGGTAGCCCCTCTGCAAGGAGCCCCTATTGCTCTAGGCTGGTGCAGGTGGGGCCCTGCTTTCCTACTGGTAATAACCAAACAGAAAGACTAGACCTCAGCCCCGGGCTGACTTGATCCAGGGGGCTAATTTTAGGCTACCCTCCACCCCTCCTTCCCTCAACTAGTGTTATCTTACCAGTGTCATTGGGGAGCTGTCCCAGGAAGAGGAGGGGGCAGCCCCCAGGGAAATCCAAGAAAGACTGAAAAATAAATAGGAGCTTAGGTAGTAAGGCTAGGGCTACTGCTCCCCATTTTTTCCTTGCATGTCCTGCTCTACCACTCAAATGGGCACCAAAGTAAGGCCCTTGAGCTGAGGCTATTTCAACATCACCCCTACCACCAATGGGCCTGAGAAGGCCCAGCCTCTCTTAGCACACTTTCTTCTGAGCTGGAATCTCTTTAATTGTTTCTCTGAACTTTCCTCTTAACTTTTCTGGATTTCCTTTTTGGCTCTTTAGGGCCCAGCAACATCTTGCCTTCCCCTCTGCCAACTCCCTAGAGTGAAGAGGAGGGTGGGAAGAAGCCTTCATGCTGGAATGTACTATCAGTCAGCTTTTCTAAAACTTAAGAAGGTCTTGATCTTTTATAAAGATCTCCCTAGTCAACTCACGTGCCAAGCTCAGCCTGAAGAAAATGCCCACAGCCTCCCACTCTTCTCACCCCTGAAGTATCACTATTAGATTAATATCAGCACTGGAAAGTTTGTCAAAAGATCAGCTCTTAAGAGTATTATTTTATCTCTCTTGTTTCTTTCAAATGAGTGAAGTGGTAGGAAAACACCTTTAGAAATAGTAACAATATGTATTTTAGATGTCACATTAAACAAAACTAGGAACCAACATCCTGCCTTACTCTGGGATGAAAAGCCAGCCCAGCTTTAGGTATAGAAACCACACCACAGTTGGATCACATCTGTGAAACTATAAAGCAGCCAGTATGTACAAAGTCTAGATGCAGATAGAACATAGAAAAGAGAAAGACATAATGTCTTTTAAAAAGCTCATTTCATTAGGAAAAATATACACAGAAACAATTATTTTTCACATAGTGAAAAAATGCCAGAACTAAAAGCAGTCCTGGATACCTATGGTTTATTCTTTATCCATCACAGGAGAGTATTTCATGGTTCTGTTTCTCTGTACACTCATGAAAATTAATTATAATGACTTTTCATTAGGTAGACTTCAGTCTGTATAGAACAGTGATCCCAAGACCGTGAAGTACTTCTCTTTCTAATCACCAAGAAAGAGAATATTTCAGTCAGAAAAACAAAAATCCAGTCAGGGAACCATGTATGGGATATATAGGATAAAGTGCTATCATTTCTGTTTTACATGATTAGTTTAGTGTTACAACTTGCACATCAAAAAGGAATATCCACATTTCTTAAACATATTCAAAGGCTTTGACTTGAATGCTTCTAGTAATAGGGCAATTGCTCCATCCAGAGGTAGCACATCTTTTTTAAAAGAAAAGTTTGTTAATTGGTACATATTAGTAGTACAGAATAATGAGATTTGTGATGGTATATATTATTGTTGAACAGCTCAGTTAGTCCTTTCTTCTAGGCTCGTATCTTCATCTACAGAGTACCCCTGAGTGGATTCTATCCTGTCTTCTATCCTCTCCTTACCCTTGGAACCCCAAAGAACATGGTCACTTTCACTATCTCAAAACAGTCTGTTAGGGTTCTGAACCAAGATATTTTATCTTCCAGGTCCCCTTATCTCAGAAAAAACAGCTACTTCAACTCTTTCTTTGAATCTGGTATCTATTCAGTCTACCATAAAGTGAGTAGTCATGCAGCCTGCTTCCACATTCATGTTACCTGGGAATTCACAGGAGGCCAGATGACTCCTTTCAAAACTGTCAGTGTCTCATTGATCAGTGACTCTGATAATCAGGAACATCAAAAGGTTATCAAGAAAAGTATGGTGTGTACCAAGGTCGCAAGTTGCACAGAACATGCTGAATCAGCCCGCTGCAGACAGGCAGGTCTGCAGACACTGTAGGAAGGTTGCAAGTCATGCGGAACATGCTGAATCAGCCCATGCCCCAGCAGCAATCCACTGAATACCCACACACGCCCCTGCCTCACCCCCACCCCTGCTCCTCTGACCTCTTCTCTGTACTGCCACCTGGCTCTACACTACAAAGACGCAGAGGACACCGGACCACCAGACCACTGTACTGGGTAAGTTGGAGTCATCTTCACCTCCCATCAGGACCAGGACTATCTTCAGGGGAAGGGCAGCTGGAACCTGCAATACAACTCTGCAGAGTTCAACCCT